GCAGGGGAGCAGTTAGGTGTCAATCAGGTCGGCAGGGGAGCAGTTAGGGGGTGATCAGGCTGGCAGGCAGAAGTGGGTTAGGGACAAGCAGACAGGCAGGCAGGGGAGTGGTTAGGAGCCAGCAGTCCCAGATTGTGAATGGGACTGTGGGATCGGGTCTAAACCGGCAGTTGGACATCCCCGGAGGGGTCCCAGACTGGAGAGGGTGCAGGCTGGGCTGAGGGATACCCCCCCCCCACTGCATGAATTTCGTGCACCAGGCCTCTAGTCCTATATAATAAAAGCCTAATATGCTAAGTCTGCCATTCAACCAATCAAAGCGTAATATGCTAATGATATGCTAAGGCTGCTCAACCGCTCGCTATGACGTCCACTGACCACCAGGGGGCAGACAGCTGACCAGTCGACCAATTGCTATGACGTAGGGGAGAAGCTCTGACTGGTAGGTTAGCTTGCTGGTGGAGTCCAGCCAATCAGGACTGAGCGAGACAGGCCGGACATACCCTGGAGCCCTCCCACAGTCCTTCTTCAACTGGCCAACCTCCTACATCCTTCCCTGGCCCTGATCGTGCACTGGTGGGGTCCCTCGGCCTGGCTTGCACCCTCTCGCAATCCGGGACCCCTTGGGGGATGTCAGAGAGCTGGTTTCGGCCCAATCCCGCAGGCCAGACCGAGGGACCCCACTAGTGCATGAATTCATGCAAGGGGGCCTCCGGTAGTATATAAGCCAGAACTTCTGGCTAGTATGTAAAAGGAGTAGCATGCACTCTCTTTCCTCTTTCCTGCTGACTGGGATACAGCTGAAGGAAACTAAGACAGCCATTCTGCACTCAGAGATGGAAGTCATATAATGAAGAACATGTAAAATTCAGGCAGAGGCCCCTACCAAACTACCACTTACCTCTGAAAAGTTTAATGAGAGAAATAGATTTTGTTTAAATCACTCTATTTTGGGATCTTTTGTTTCTCCAGAAGCTTAAAATAAGCATACTCTAATATACTCTAACACACAACCTAAATGTCCACCAATAAAGCACTGGATAAATAAAGTGTGGTATAACTGCATACTAGCTGGCCATGAAAAAGAAAAGATAGGATTCTCAGTACCAACATGGAATAACCTCCAAGGTATAATACCTACATCCCACTAACAGCAGAGGTTCTCAACCCTGACAACATATTAAAACTACATAGAAACAGTCTAAAAAATACCTACATGGGACATCCCAGACACACTTAGAACATCTGAGTATAGCAATATCTGGGTCCAGACATAGTTCCTTTTTAAGCAGTTCTCAACCCTGACTGCTTCTAATGTGAATCAGGGTTGAGAAACAGGAGATGAGAGCCTGTGGATGTGGCACTACAGAAAGAAGACAGAAAACCTTCACTCGTCCTCTCTCACCATTCTTCTTTCAATCCCTACTCCTACCACATCTGGAAAGAAAGAAAAAGAAATTCAGGACCTGAGCAGGAGCAACTAGGGAGGAGAAACAAAAGCCCAGAGTCACCTCAAAGGGGCTGCCTTTTTGCCTGGCCAGATGTGTGTTCTTAGGCCTCTCACTAAGAATTACCACACATTTAGCCCTAACTGGTTTGACTCAGTGGATAGAGTATCGCCCTGTGGACTGAAGGGTCCCAGGTTCGATTCCAGTCAAGGGCATGTACCTTGGTTGCGGGCACATCCCCAGTAGGGGGTGTGCAGGAGGCAGCTGATTGATGTTTCTCTCCCATCGATGTTTCTAACTCTCTATCCCTCTCCCTTCCTCTCTATAGAAAATCAATAAAATATATTAAAAAAAAAAAGAATTACCACACATTTAAATGTACGTGACTTGTCCAAGATCATCAAAAGTTACTTATCTGTAAAGAACCCGTCTCTCTTAATCTAGTGTTCTTTTCATAAACTCATGTGAACATTTATTTGGGAGATATAATTCTTCCTGATGACTTATAAAACCAAGACTTTTATATTTCACTGTGAAACCTATTGAATTCCTCAAAAGAGTATGGTTTAAAGCTTCAGTGAAAGATCACCCAGACAGCCAAGCACCATCTGTTAAACAACGAACAAGAAACACTACGAAGGGAGCACATTTCTTTCACAATGATTTCAGCCCAAGTAAAAGATGGACTTTTTGCTGAAGTTTCCTCTTATTTCTCATATTGTTTATTCTGACACATCTGATTCCTTATCCAAACACCTTACATCTAGCAAAAATTAAGCCAAAGACAAGTGGCTTACTAACCTGGTGGACAAGCACACATTTTTTGCAAAGTAATCTAACAGCACTGCATGTAAATTGAGAAAAAGAATTATGGCAGCTTGCTAGTATATATATTTCAAGGCACTACTCACTTGCCAAGGACTGCGCTGATCACTGTAGAAATCTCATAACAATACAATCAGACAAGTAGTGTTATTCCCATTTTAAAGATAAGAAAATTTAGGCTGAGAAGTTAATAATTTGCTAGGTATCATTCCTAGTAGAGAGTCTAAGTTGTAGAGCTGAAATTGTCACTGCTGCTTTCTTCAAAGTTCACATGTAACTCATCGTATAAGGACACAGTAATTACTAGTCTCTCCAATGTGAATCAAATTTGGGGGAAAAGAGAGAAACCTATTTATCTCTTCCTTCTCTTTCAAAGATATTGCAGTTTAGCATTACCTCCTTCATGATAGACAATCTCCTTTTCTCAAGATTAGAAATTTCCGGTTTCTGCTTCTTCCATTTTCTCTTCAAAGCTTTTTCTTGGAGTTCCCAGTGTACTAGTGCTCTATTCTTTGATTTGTGTATTTCATGTCGGCGTATCTATATAGAAAAAAGCATATAAAATAATGTTTCAGGAACAAAGAAGGTGCCTATTTAGGTGGTAGGACCACCTAATATACTTCATCTTTTTTCATTTTTTCTGATTCAACATAGGTATATTTATATATATTCACATTCAAAATTTTTACAGTCTTCTGTATACAGAAGTACTAGACCTAGATAAAAGACAAAATAGGAAGTATATTAATTTCTATATTTGTAAGGACTAGCCAATAAACTAGTGCTTTTCAAACTGCATACTAGGACTCATTTGATGGTGGTAAAAATCAACTAGTGGGTCAAAACCAACATATTTTAAATAAAATAGAATAGAAAATATTAAGACACATCATACATAATAAAGAATTGTTTTATTAAACTTTTCAGTTACATATGTATGTACATGTACAATATGTACTGAAAGGACAGAACAGGACTGATAGCTGTGTCCTTAACCCCTCTTCCAAGAAAAAGCCGAAGAATGTATCAGTTACTCAGCCTGCCCTTATCTCGGCCAATGGGAAAGTGGGGAAAACTAGCCCAAGGCCAAGAGTATGCTAGCCACCCCCCTGTCTTTGTGTAACCAGACCCTAGCTGCACCCTGCCCTTGCGTCACTAGCCCCCGGCCCTCACTCAACCAACCGGAATCGACCAAATCAGTGGTCAAAGTGTGCCCCTACCCCCCAACCCCAAGCCCTATAAATTCTTTGTTCTCTTGGAACTCGGGGCTCTCTCTTGCATCCAGTAATGGAGGCAGGAGGGGGACCAAGTCCCGGGCTTGAATAAAAGACCCTTTGCTTTTGCATCGGAAAAGGCTCCCTGGTGGTGGATTATTGGGGACCCCGAACTCTGGGCATAACATGTACAATTACACACACTGACTGAGATTAACCAAAGATCTTATATGCATATATGCATTACCTGTGGACACAGACAATAGGATGGCGAAGGCCTGGAGCAGAGTGGGAAGCGGGTGGAGGGGGCCAATGTGGGAGAAAAGGGGACATCTGTAATATTCTCATCAATAAAGATTTAAAAAATAAAATGCTTCAGCAAAGTTAGAAAAGGAGATGATAAATGAAGCCATTATGTAAAATTTTATTAACATTATACTGTATCTGGGTGAATACAGTATACTGTATATGGGAGCTCTTTATAATTTTGTCTGCACTTTCACATGAGTCTGAAATTTTTAATAATTAAAAAAAATTTAATCAATTGAGTATCATTATTAGCCTCAATGAATATTTAATGAGCTACCAAGATTAAGATTTGTAGGTCCAGAAAGATATGGAAGATATGTTTTCTACTCCTCAAAAGCACTAATCATCTTCCCAGGGAAACTGGGTAAATACAAAGATCAATGATAGGTATTAGACAGGATATGCTCAATGCCTTATGTAGGTAGTAAGTATAACACTTCAGAAGAGATATCAAATGTTGGGCAGCTTCAAAAAGTAGGACTTCAAACTTACCACAAAGCTATAAAAATCAAAAGAGTGTGGTACTGGCATAAGGATAGACATATAGATCACTGAAATAGAATTGAGAGTCCAAAGTAAGCCCTTATATTATGGACAACTGATGTTCAACAAGGGTGCTAAGAAAATTCAATGAGGATAAAATAGTCTTTTTTAACAAATGGTGCTTGAAAAACTGGATATCCATTTGCAAAAGAATGAAGCTGGACCTCTACCTCACACTATATATAAAATTTAAATAAAAATGGATCAAACACCTAAACAATAAGAGCCAAAACTATTAAACTCTTAAAAGAAAACATAGGTGGTTACCAAAGGGAAAGGGGTGGAGGGAGGCAGAAGAAGGGAAAGGGGAGATAAATGGTGATGGAAGAAGACTTGACTTTGGGTGGTAAACACACAATACAATAGACAGGTGATGTATTATAGAATTGTACACCTGAAACCTATATAATGTTATTAACCAATGTCATCTCAATAAATCAGTGATGGCAAACCTTTTGAGCTCGGCATGTCAGCATTTTGAAAAACCCTAACTTAACTCTGGTGCCATGTCACATATAGAAATTTTTTGATATTTGCAACCATAGTAAAACAAAGATTTATATTTTTGATATTTATTTTATATATTTAAATGCCATTTAACAAAGAAAAATCAACCAAAAAAAATGAGTTCGCGTGTCACCTCTGACACGTGTGTCATAGGTTCGCCATCACTGCAATAAATTCAATAAAAAAAATTTTAAAACAATGAAAAAAAGAAGAAAACATAAGAGTAAATCTTTGAACTTTGGGCTAGATAATGGTTTCTTAGAGATGACACTGAAAGCACAAGTAACAAAAGAAAAATTAGATAAATTGCACTCGATCAAAATTAAAATCTTTTGTGCTTCAAAGGACATTATCAAGAAAGTAAAAAGACAACCAAAAGAATGGGAAAAAATATTTGAAATCATTTCTCTCATAAGGAACTTGTATCCAGAATATATTAAAAAAAACTCTTACCACTCAACACTAAAAACACAAATAATTCAATTTTTAAAGTGGAAGAGGGAATAGAGGAGATAATGGCAATGGAAAAAATAAAATAAAACAAAAAAATAAAATGACTAAAAGATTTGAATAGACATTACTCCAAAGATACCATGGCCAATCATGACCAATAAGCACATGAAAAGGTATTCAACTGTTCAACATCATTAGTCATTAGGGAAATGCAAACCAAAACCACAAAGAGATTACCTTTTATACCCACTAGGAGAATGTAAACCAAAAAGATGACAATAACAAATTGACAAGTGATGTGAAGAAATTGGAACCCTCATATTTGCTAGTGAGACTATAAATTACAACCACTTTGGAAGACAGTTTGGAAGTTACTCAGGAAGTTAAGTAATATAGATATCGTAAGTTGCAGCAATTCTGCTCACAGGTATATACCCAAGAAAACTGAGAACATATTTTCACACAAAAACTTTACATGAATGTTCATAGCAGCATTATTGATAATGGTAAAACAACCATTTGACTATTATGAATGTCCAGAACAACCCAAATGTCCAGAATAGTCAAATCCATAGAGACATAAAGTAGATTAGTTGAAGCCAAGGATTTATTGAGAAGATGTGTGAGAGTGCATAGGAAATAATGGGTAGAGAGTTTCTTTTGTTGGGTGATGAAAATGTTCTATAATTAGAAAGTAATGATGGTTGCATAACTGTGAATATACTAAAAAAATTAAATAAACTGTACACTTTAAGAGGCTGGATTTTATGGTGTGTGAATTATATCTCAATAAAGCTATTTATTTTTTAAAAACTATATATAGTAGAAACTTAAAAAAAATAAGACTTGAACTAGCATAAGGTAACGAAGGAAGATTTGGGCAGCTAAAGAAGAAAAGAGGGAAACTGTTCCAAGAAAGGAAAATAGAATTGGGACGAAAATATGGAAATATAAATGGCCTGTTCAAGGAATAAATTACTACATTGACTAGACCAGTATGTTTGTACAGGGAAGTAATCGTAAATACTAATGCTGAAGATATCTACAGATAGGGAAAGATGACAGATGTATACAGGGCAATACTAGACTAGAGAAATCTAACTAGGAAAATTCTAATACATGCTAATTGATATTCTTAGGTAAAATCAGGACGTCCAGAAGATATGCTTTTTGATTTTATATAGACATAAGCAAGATAAATATAACAACTCTGAGAAGTTACCTCTGGCTCCTATTCTGAAGGTTAGAAACCAATATCAAATAAAACACTAAACAAATATTAACTTTTGATATTAAACTTACCAGATCTTCAGGAGTTGCCCGATGAACTGTTAGATCATTCACAGTATTCTATAAAAAAAGATAAACTTCCTTTAAAGAAAAAAAATGTTTCCTATAAAATATTAGTATTTACTGGATTTTTTTTAATAGGGTTTTAAAGTTTATTCTTTAAACTAGGTTAAAAAAAATTTTGAAATCAGTTTTACTTTCTTTTTTATGACACTGATTTTCCTTTTTTTCTTTACATGCCAGATGGATCTCAGTTAAAAGACTGTATTTCACCCAGCTGGTGTGGCTCAGTGGTTGAGCATCAACCCATGAACCAGGAGGTCACGATTCAATTCCCGGTTTGGGCACATGACCAGGTTGCGGGCTCAATCCTCAATGTAGGGTGTACAGGGGGCATTCTCATCATTGATGTTTCTATCTCTCTCTCTCTCTCTCTCTCTC